GCCAAGGTGTATGTGCATACGTCGTCACGGTGAACTGCTTCATTTGTATGGTTGTCCTTGTTCTCTGTGCACTTTCGATTCCCGTGGAGGTAAAAACCTATGGTGTAAGAAACAAGTTTGTGCGGAGCTGTGTGCAGGCGTTTTTTTCGATCAAGTGCTTTTGACGAAAAGGCTGAACCACTACGAGTCCTCCTCTAATGTCATCAGTTTGCCTTGTGATGAGATCAAGGGGTTCCTTTAACATGACACGCCAATATTCAAGCTACTCCATACCGCCTGCTTAACCCAGAAGACTCAGTGTGTGAAAGTGCGAAGGGACGTTGATCTGTCTGCTTTGATGTGATTTTAATCATTACCGACTATAGCACTTAGCGTGGTACTGATCGGCGTCCCATTTGAAATGAGCCCCGTGGGTGACAACGATTTTAGGATGTCCAAGATCCCTATGCTGCTTTTCATGCTGTAATATGCTGACGTAGCAGTTGCCATCCCACACGCCAATGTAGTTTTACAATGGCTGAAGATTCAAATAATGCACCGTTCGTTCACCATGTGTTAGTCGATTTTTAATTCACGTTGCCCAATTTGTGTGTGCGTCAGATTCTGATCAAACCGATGTCTGCGCTTTTTGATTCGCATCAATTACTCACAAAGGCTGCAGCACATGTGTCGACAGGAGATGGACCGAAAAGAAGTCTTGAAACCACACTGGCGTTTGGAGTGGCATTGAGTGTGGGTTTGTGCAAAGTGCAATCAGTTGATAATTGTGGAACTGTACCACATTCGACGCAGAATTGTTCATGAATGGTTTGTTGTAGGTACCTACGTAACACCTTACGTGGTATAATAAATTTGCACTCGGGTTAAAATTATTGTTATTTTCTTTCGATTAATCAGTGAAAAATTTATTAATGCTCTTCCTTCCTTGTTGTACGGTTTTGAAAACTGCCGAAATTTTCGCGTAATTTTTTAATGTTTTTCTTTATGATATAGTTAATATATTTTCACTTGATTTGATGACTGATTTCATAACCTAACTTTAAAAGTCATTTTCGTTTCTTGTTAAGCTTTTTTGCTATAATGCAATAAATATTCCTATACTAATGGCCTAATGTAACCTGAAAGACGAAATAAGCCCATTTAGAACAGTTTTGTTAATCTAATTTTTTAAAGACAGTTACCGTAATGTGAATAGTGAATCTTGTGAGCCTTAACCAAGTCAATGGAAACTTTTTTTATTATTTGCAGCTATACGCTATTTCAAAGTGGTAAAATATTGCGTAAACTAAACTTATAATCATTCTCGCTCATTGCGATTGTTGATGTTGATAATGAAGAAGGTTGGACAAAATCTGGGAGCCTTGGATTTGCTTGCGGTGTGGTGTTTTGTCTTGGGCCAAATCATTACGGTGTAACTTATTTCATGTATAACCTGCCAATTGTTTTGTAGTATATTAATCCATTTTATTTTGACTTAGCTTGCCTCTGCCCTTCACTGCCTCGTAAGATTTGACTCGTGCGCTTCATGATTTCGCAGTATCCATATATGTATATTTTATTTGTTTTTATACGTATATTTGTTCCTAATTATTTATCTAACGTTTTTGTATTAGTCCATTTGGGGCTATATGTTTCGAATATTTTAATTAGGTAAAATAGTCATGGGAAATGTAAATGTCTGGTTTTGTACGCTTCTTGTAATTCACAAGGGCATTCAAGTTAAACGTTACCTTTTTCAGTCTGCTCTGTAGACAAAAGCGCTGGTCCTGTGGACCGCAATATGAGAATTAGCATTCCAGTAGCTCATTTTTGTAAACTCCATCCTTTAATATCCTCCAACTGCATCTGTTAAATAATTTTCCCTGTTACTGTGGTGGTAGTGATGTTTTGTTATGCGGCCCTACTCAAATGCTTAAATCTTAGGCTCTAATCGTTTCTTGTGTACCTACTTGGAACCAGTTATTCGTAGCCCGTAAGTCGATGAACAAATGTCCTCACATACCGACTGTGTTCTGCCATATTTTAAAGTGTCTGGCGAATATTTTTAAGCATTAGTCATGAGATTGGTATTTATCATATACTGTTTTCTTGCAGCTTTTCGAATTTTGGGGTTTTGGTCATCAATTTATTTGCGTCCTGCTTCCTTGTTCATATTGTCACTCGCTTGGCGTTTTTGAGCATCCTGCTAGAAATCAGCCATGGCCGATTCGTCTAATCAACCAAAGTGAGTTTTATCGTTTAACATTTGTTTTTTTCTGGATTTAGGTATCTTAAGTGTGTTTAATTATCCAAGAATGTTCAAAATGACCTCACTAGTAAATACTATACAATTATTTTCTTTGACGATGACACGCACGTGAATCGTTACTAAAAATACAATTTTTACGAAGACATATGTCTTTAACTGTCTACAATCTTTCTCAGAATCTACTAAGGATGCACTCCGAATTTGAAAATGTAACTATGGCATTATTTTCTGGCATCTTAATGCTTGGACCTACACTTATTGTGTTTGCTCCAAATGTTTTAACTTTTGTAGGCTAGATCAACAGCAATCACACCAGCCACTGCTCGCTCCGCAGCTGATAGCAGTTAATTCGACAGCTACAATTCCTCAGTCAACCAGTCTTCCTGTGGCCCGCCCAGCTGCACCAGTCATCGTCCGCCCACACATAAACCATGCTAGTCCCGCTCGAAGTCTTTTCGTTATCCGTCCTTCTACTGCGACCACTGTCGCCTCCCCCGCTTCTCGGATAATTGTTCAGCAGACTTCACCACATCCAATCGTTGCTCAAACCGTCACGCCGGCCATACTAACACCATCGCCTCTGGATACAGATAATCAGCCGGATGCCAGCAACGCTCCTGTCGCAACCCTTCTTCGTAACGCACCCATTTCGATGCGCTTTGACGGGCAGCCACATCCTGTGACCGCAAAGCCATTGACCGACCGATTATCAGTTTTTCATCGGTTTCCTTGCGGTCCTGGAAATTATGCGGCAACTGCGACCAAACTAAAGGTTTCGCCGGCAACCCAAGGACCTACCCCCTCATCACCACAGCGCAAGGTGATTCGAGAAATGCAGGTTAGTCAACCTTGAACTCGCCAAATGCCGCCTTTAGTCTCATGCCAAACTTGCGTCACTTGTGTTCTGACCTACCGAATTAAATGCTCTGTCTTTCATGCTGTGAATCACCGCAGGATTTTCGGTCGATTCATCAACTCTTGTATGCTCGATTAAACTATATTTTGGCTCCAATAAGTCGTGTGTATGTGTCTGATTCGAAACTAGTGTAATCGGAAGCTGTCTTCAGTAGTCCTGCTTGGTTTTGTTCTGTACACATTACTCCATAAATGTTTAAATTTGTTGATGATGTGACGTTAAAATTATTCCGTCTGCGTCTCGATGCTTTTTTTCGGCGCGTCATATTTAATTCGGGATACTCGTGCCATTTAACGCAAGATCCTTTTCGCACAAATCCAAATTTGAGACAAAAATAGGCAGGGATTAGAACCCACTTTATGCATGGGGTGAAGGGATGCACTTTTCAACCCGTGAATTACGGTCTAAAATTTAGACTACAATGTGTAACGAAATACTTTTATTTAAAAACGTAGTAAAATATATATTTAATTTTAGTCAAAATGTAAGCTCAATGCATTCATATTAGGTGCAATGCTCTTTAATACATTAATTTTTTTCTAAAGGTCAGGGTGTGCACTCGGCCGGACCGCAAATTCAGTGTTTTGCGTTACAATGCCTACGATCGAATTGATTTATCGGGTGCTTCCAGTGGTACTCCCAGCGGAGACAATAAAAGCTCCGGTTCCACTCTTCAGGAGGTTTTTCTGCAACGTGAAAACAACCTTCGCCAATACAAAGCCACACACAGCATTGTAGATGCACCGACTCGTGGAGCAGGCAGTGAATTTGGTCAAGAGGCGAAGGAGGAGGCTCGCTTGCGTAGACTGGGAATCGTTCGACAGGGCTATCGGGTGGAAGATCAACCTTGGCTTCTCACTGTAGGTAAGGGACGCACGGCGAAGCGCTACAAAGGAGTTAGGGAAGGCAACGTCTCCGCTAATGTGAGGCACTTCATATTCTGCCAGACAAAAGACGGAAATTTTGATGCATATCCTGTACATGAATGGTGAGTTGTGTTTTGTGGATTGTAGATTGTGTGCAAATATTCTCACCATGGACAAGTGAATCCTCGGAATAACTGTCAGAATTTGTTTAATTTGTAGGCTATATGCGATGAATCTGCTGTAATGTATCCCCATATAAGCATTGCTTATTGCGATGGACTTTGGCCAGGTCTTGGTGTTTAGCTTTTCTTCACTTGTTTTCACTGGTGCAAGTACACAAATGCGTTAAGTCGTCTTCGTTGCACCCCGGTTCACCAAACTGACACTGTTGTTCTCTGAGTTCTAATGGAAATCTTTTCACGTTGTCACCGTTGATGTGCTTGTTTTCGTGACCATCTGGTTCATCCACAGTGGCTGGAATCCCATCTCTTTCAGTTGTAGTCAAGATTCAGCAAATCTCAATACCTCACAGTCGTCCACAATTTTTTTTACATTTTGTCACAAGTGCAGTCTGTTTTCATCTGCGCGGCCTCTGACGACTATTTCATATAAATCCAGAAAGGATTCAGTCCTGTAATGTCCGAATTCTGTTCTTTATGACTGGTGAGTTTTTCCCTATTGAAGGTACAAGTTCAACCCCGAAGTTAACTATCGCTTCCTTCGAGACGAGGAGGCCGAAGCAGAATACAGTCGTCGTCACAAGACAATGAATCTGTTTAACGTCATGGTCAAGCGAAAAATGGGTGACGAATCCACTGAAGAAGGCGCTGTAGACATCAATGAACCCAATATCCGGTATGTTTGCATAGCAAATACCGTAACCTTATGAACAAATGTCTGCACAAAAAGAATGTGTTAATGCTGAGGTTTACAATTGTAGAACTCGTACTGGCATGGGTTCCATTTCAAAGAGTGATAAGTCGGTGAAGCAAAACCGTTCCTCGGCTCTTTTGCTTACAGAATTGGATGAGTGGAAGGGTTTGGGGCTGGATGACGATGACGATGAGGAGGAAGAGGATGGTAATGAGGGGGGCGCTGGTGACGAAGAGACTGCTAAAACAGGCGAAGTGGACGATAGTTTCATGAAGAGGTCTGATGACGCAAAGAAAAAGAAAACTGACAGTAAGAAAAAGCGTGCTGCGGCGATTGTAGCACGAAAGCGCCGAGCCACAAAACAACGCGCTCGTCGACGACGAAAAGGAGCCCTTGGAAACTCCTCTGGAGAGGAAGATGACGTCAACGAAGAAGCTTGGGATGAAAGTGATCCTGACGATCATGAGGGTGATGAGGTACAATCTGACTTTTCCTTTTACTATTGTATTGTATGCCACATCTGTTGGGGTTGGTGGCGACACTGACGTCTCTAGTCGATTCTCCTTCCCTCCGTTATTAATAATATGGGCTAAAAAGCATTAAGTACTTAGCTCGCAGTGGAAATTAGCGCCTTATCACGAAGAAACGTGGTAGTTCAGTGAAAGCGTATGGGATCACGGAAATGGGTTTTATTAAACACTTGATGAAATTCTGAAGGATCTTTGTAAGCTTGCTCGAGTTTGTATTATGACTTTCCAGGTGCGACTATTTGAGAGTGGTTTTAAAAGCCGCCTTGTTTTAAGGAAGAAGTAGGAAAATCATGCAAAGTAATTTCAGTAGATTGAGTATAGTTTGGTTTCGTAAACTATACTTTGATAATCCGCAATACCTCCGCTGTTAGGCGGAGATCGAAGCTGTTTGGTGGCATGGTAAAGGAGTGTTCTCTTGCTGATATCGTATTCAACTTCATCGGCCATTGCTCGTGTATCTCGGCTTGCGAAAGAAAGTGTTATTTTAAAGCGAATAAACTCGTGAATGACGAGTTCGGTTGTCATCTGTGTTAAAAACGTATTTGGTTATTATCATGTACGCATACCTATCATCAAAATTAGTGACCATCCGAATGATTAAGCGTTTTTTATGTCTGAATAAGCACATAGGCAAATGTCCCGATTTGTTCTCGCCCAAAAAGAATGTTTTTCTTAAACCTGGATTTCACGGATTCCACGGAAAAATATTCGTTTAGGTTAAAATCGATGTTATTGGTAACACTTTTTAAAAGACTTTGCTTTGTGTTTACTCTTTTTATAATCGAGGACCTGTGTGTCGCTCATGCTTGTGATCCATTTTGCAGATGTACTGCCAAGAGCTTTTTGATTGACTCAAAGATTTGAGTCTAAGTTAAAATAATACTTTTGTCTTGTTTGTTAACTACGCCGGTTATGCACACCGTTTGGCCCGTTATATGAGGCTTGCCCATTACATCAGCCTCACACTAGCCTATTCTAATTATGTCTAGTCAAAGGCCTTTTTTGTGTAAAAAGACTTTGTTTATCAATTTGACTGCCTCTAGGTGGACTACATAACTGACTCATCATCTGATGAGGAGAAACTCTCAGCAGATGATCGAGAACAAATTTATCAGGAACAAGGCGTCGACGAGGAGGCTGGCCTCAAAGCCCTACTTACTGATATCAGTATGTTGTTTACTGGAATTTTGCAATTTCGATGGCAGCAGTGAGAGTTTCTCGATCGCCTTATATTTGCGTACATGCAATGACGAGCCAAAATTGCCGTCATTTTGATACAAATACCATCGATCAATAACGACTCAAATGTCTTGGGACAACCCAATACGGACTCACGACGTCTGGTTCTCTTAATTTATAGGCCAAAGCCCCCTATACAATTAGGTTTAGGTGTTTAAAACAGTGCTAGTTAGATCTCACTACGATGCCATTTTATAATCAACTTAAGTCTCTCATCACTGTTTTGTAAATCTCAAAAGCAGCGTTTTATAAACTCGTGACTCAATGTCGGTAAATTTGTGGTTAGGTTTTCGGGATGTTTGTATCTATTCTAATTGTCGTGCTTCTTTTTTTATACTCTCGGGAATCATGTATGCCTAATCAGAATTGCCTGTAAACCATTGATGCAGATTGTCTTTTTTATCTAGGTGATTCAGAGGAGGAACTTCAAAACAAGCCCGAAGATTCCAATTTTGACGAGTATGACTTGGAAGAAGAAGAGGCTGAAGGTGATGGGAACAAAACCGGTTCTGACGGAAACGAACACAAATCCAAATCTCGTGAGTCCAAGGCCCATCGAATCAAGGCTAATTCCTTGGATTCATCTTCGAATGACGATGACAGTGATGAGTCTAGTGACGATTCATCGAGTGACTCATCGTCATCCTCCGGCTCTGACTCCGATTTAGCGCCTGACGACCCTGCTCATCTCGCTCGAAAAGCACAGAAAAAGGAAGAACTACTTCAGCGAATTTCGGAAAAGGTATCCGTTTCACAGGTCGAAGATCAGCCGTCGTCTATTACAGGAGTTAAAAGATTTAGAAATGAAACAGCATCCGCGCATGCCGATCCACAAAACGCTCCTAAACGCCCAAAGCAAGTTGAACCGGCGAGTGATGATGCATTTACGGCGGCCGTGCGAAAATATCTAATGCGGAAGCCTATCACAGTATCAGACTTGTTGAAAAAAATTCGTTCAAAGCGACTTGTTCCACATGCATCGCAGCCTGGCCGTGGCACCGGTGGTTCGGGTACCGATGATATTGCAGAAACTATGTTAGCTAACGCACTGCGTCAACTGAGACCTCTCAAACACATAGTTAACGGGCAGCCCTTTCTTTCGCTCAAGCGGTGAAACTGTGCACACTCAATTCTTGTATATTACATCTACTTTACTTATATCTGTTCATGGATGACGAAGGTTTGTATAATGTTATTTTCGTGACCTTTATTACACTGTTCTGTAGGGAAGCACTGGTACGGTTGTTATAAGAGCTGAGTTTCTTCATGAGCAATCCATAAAATATGCGATCATAAACTTAGCGAATGCTGTGTTCATACCCTGGTCGTGTGCATGTTTTGCTTCCGGGAGAGAGTAAGGGGCTTGATAATAACGTTTGAAATTCTTTTTGCAGGCGAAAATGGGTGGCGGCTATGGCAATTTTTTTTAACATTGTCGTTGCTGTTTGGATCAACTTAGTCATGGGGGCTGCAGGCAATGTTGAGACGGGTGGGTTTTCTTGCATACAATTATGTAGGGAAATAACAGACTTCAAAGTATCCTCAATCTATGCCAGGGAAACGAACAAGGGATTTTTTTGGCTGCAAATTGTGGAGGTTTTGGACAGCATGATTAGGGTATAGAATGAATGCTGTGAGCCGCCTTCCGTTTCTTTGGCATCGGATGCAAGAATGGAACAAAATAGGAATTAAAATACAGCAAATTATTGGTATTGTATCATACGGCTGCGATATGGAACTGCAATATGAGATATGGCTCTTTGAATAAATACGATTGAAGTGGTGATTGCCAGTTTTGTTGAACAGTTAGTAGTAAAAATGTTATTCAACTGTGTAAAAATTAGATCGAGTGTCTAATTTGACTGCTAAGATTTCGTTGCAGTCTTCATTTGTTTGAGAGACTGCAAATACTTTTTGAAGCCTATCGAAATATTCAAATCTGCAAAATCATGCTACAATATAGTTTACGTAGAAATCCCCAGTTTCCAAGAAATGACATTGGTATTTATTTAAAGCATGCAGGCATCAAGTTAACTAAATTCTGTTCCAGTTTTTCGGTCGTTTAGATTCCAAAATGACTGTGTACTTCAACCTGTTCAGATAAATAAAATACCACGTGGATTGACTTTGCATTACTCTAAAAAGGCAACCACTGAAAAAGAAAAGAATATTTTAACCACAAAATTACAAAAAAGCACAGCAAAATGGTTAGGAAGTGGATAACAAAAAAAATTTCTACAAGAAATCCAAATTGCGAGTTAACTCATTACTTCTCGTAGAATGTGTAAAACCTTTACAATTTAAAAAAAGCTTCGAGAAGCCAACACATTAAGGTAAAGTGAAGGGATATGATTAAAAACTTCCAGAGCCCGGTGCAGATATTTGCACTTAAAGCTCATTGAACAATTTCGACAGCTCACAATATATTTCACTTATGGACTTTTCACGATTTATAAGTAAACTGATTTACAATAATCCAGTAGCTGTGCTGAACCTTTTCATATTGCTGCAAATTATTTTAAGTAGGAAA